ATGCAGTATGTAAACCAGACAAGCACTACAAGAGTGTTTAAATACCTGGATCAATTGGTTGAACTGACCATGTGGAAAATAAGTTTGGATCAGCGAATCACCGATCTACATTGGTAATCATATCCGGAAAATTGATCAATTTTATAAAAAAATAAAAATAAAAAAAAAGAAAGAAAAAAAAGTGAGAACCAGGCAATTTGGCTCGGGCAATGAGCCAGATCATCCAGTTCCTAGACAGAACCGACCAATTATGTTAGATAACCAGTTAGTTATGTAGAGGACTGGCTGATTCCTAATTCCGAAACAGACTTCTGCCCCATTGATTCTCAATCCAGATTGGTTTTTGGTTCCTTAGTGTACTCCTTTTTATTTAGCCATATAAGGGCGCTTTGTGAAGTTTCTTAAGGGCAGGATTTCACTAATTGAGACATTTTCCTCCTGCTTACAATGCCTGGGGCGTTCCAAGCTCTAGATTGCCTGACCTATTTACCAAAATGCCCTTGAGTTTCTTGTGGGCCGATGTGTATATTTTATTTTTGGATAAATCGTCATCATCATAGTTGTTTTTCAATTAATTGGGGTCGGCTCTTTTTTGGATAAATATGTTTCAAAATTTGTCAGTTAAATTTTAGTTTAGTTTTTCTTTTCTTTTCTTTTTTTTTTTTAACACCACGACCAAGTTGTGATTATTCATTTATTTTGCAGAGATCTTCTTCAGATTTTGAGGATCAATTGCCACAATTAAGGTTTGGGGAATACGATTTGCCAACAAAAGGAGAGAGACTATTAAGTGGTGCAATTTAAATCTGAGGAGTTTTATGAGAAAACAGAGAAATGGAAGAAGTATTTTGGCTCAAAATGGAATCGACATGGTTGGAAATGGGAGAGGAGCTGAAGGTAACATTTACAAAAAATAAAATAAAAACTAGTGATTGATTTTTAAGTAACTATCACATTAATGGCCATTAGCAAGCACCCTTTTTTTTTCTTTTTTTTCTTCGTTTTTGTTAACATTAACGAAACTTTTATTGTCAAAGGCTACACGGCGAGAAAGGTAGCAAACACATTTTTTACTTTGTGTGATTACAATTTGAAGAGGGTAAAAAAGCATAAGAAATTTTTCTATATAAAATTCCACTGTGTTTAAAATATTTATACTTTTAACACAAGAAGGTCACAATCACTCATGTCTTTTAGATTTCAAATTAGGTGGTTGTGAGCATATCCTTTATTAGACTTAAAGTGCGAAAAAAATAATCGAATTTTATGGTATACCTTAAGCCATCCAATTTAACATCTAATGGCTAGAAATAATCGTGTCCTCCTTGTAAGAAAGATAAATTGTTTCATAGTATACAATCCTTTTACTTTATCCAATATTTTTAGGATCTCATTGGGCCAGGAACTCCCCACCAGGTCGAGGCTCGGGTGCATGGAAAAAGGTTAAAAAATAAAAAAGAGGCGAAATAAATTTCTAAAATCAGCAAAAACTAAAAGAAGCAATAGAAATCATTAAAATAGAACTGATGCATAGAAACATAAAAGTTGGAAAGCGTGACAAGAAAAGTTCCCCCAATTAATATTAGAAACCACTCAAATCATCTAAAACTATATTTTTAAATATTTTTTATTTTTTAAGCTAAATCCAAGTAGACTTTGCCAAATAGTTCTTCAAGGACTTTACCTTTTATTTTTAAAAAATATAAAATATTTATTAAGAGGTCTTTAATTAATTCGATTCTTTTTATATATTTATAATTAAATAACCAAGGAGGATATTTATTACAAGAAGGCATCCAAAATGAATTGGATTGTAGGGTAGAATAGCCTAAATGCCATCTCATAGAACCCCCTCAATATGCAAGCCAACTTAAAATAGTTTTTTTTCCATATCCTGTAGTTGCATGCTACAGGCCCCAACCCTCCACTATGTAAATGCAGATAAATTGGCTAAAATAAATTGTTAAAAAAATGTGTGGAATTTGTTATTTCATTATAGAATAATAATTCACCGGACTAGCTAATCAAATGTGTTAATTCGAAGAACTGGCTAAAATAAATTGTTAAAAAAAAAAAAACATTTGGATTTATGGTATTTTCAGGACTTGGAATTGCAACGCTGCATAAACGCGACGTTTTGCCTGCCTAAAACTCCAAAAGTGGTGCTTGGGCTTAGGGCCTCAACAGCTGATATCTTTGTTGATAATGCGGCATTTCGGAATTTCATGTTTGACCAATTCGGGGTCTCCACTGTCGATGAAGAGAGCTTTGTTGTCGTTATGGATCGTAACAATTTCAACTCTCCCCCCTCTCCTCCCTTTCTTCATAGGAACCACCTGGAACCGGACTTATTTCTTTAAAAATCAATCTGGATTGGGCTATTCTGATCCAAATTAGCGTTTTTTAAAAACATTGATATTTTTACAACTTGATCAAGTTCTTTTTCCTTGTTTTTCATGCATGTTCTCCATAATTAGATCATTTTATTGTTCCTTTTCACTGCAAGTTAATGGTTACTCAATTAATGGGAGGGGTGCTCACTAGCTTCATTACCGCTGTTTTTTTGTAGACATGTATGTCAAATAAAGTGCCATCAATTGTATTTCGAGGGGGGTCGGACCTAGCAGGAGGGGGAGGTGAGTCATGGTCATCAACAACTCTTAGCTCCTTGGCATCCATTAATGCTGTCAAAGCTGCCATTGAATTCATAAAGCTCATTAACATTTCAAAGTTGAGCAATGAGTTCGAGTTTTTTAGTGAGTTTTCTTCATGGGAAGTTCATTAAAACAAATAGCTTTTGAATAACACTCCCCTCTCATATTGGGAAATGATATCACGTCACCATGTCACTATAGTATCGTGAAACCACACTTCTAAACCATGTTTATGGCATTTGTGTGACCTGAAATTTTTCACGCACACTTTCATCATCTCAATAATCAGTCTCAAATAATAATAATTTGCATCCTATATATGGTCAAAATGAGTCCTCTCCAACACTGAATCTAGACTGTTCATTTGGTAAATTTCAAATCTAGACCTTTATAAATTCAAAATCAAAATTTTATTTTTTAATGTTGTTAATCTAATGATAATAAAATTATCTAACAAATTTGAGAAGAATAAAGATCATTCTAAGGCTTAGATCTACACATCTCACTAAAATGGATGGCCTATGTGAATTGTACTAACAAACACTTTTTGGGTTGTGTTTTCATTTTTTTTTTTGTAATAGTTCATTAGAATGAAAAAGTGTATATTTAAAAAATTGGGTCAAACAAACGGCCGGTCTTTGTTTCATTATGTTACCATACTACAACAATTGCGTGAAATTACTCTCCTTTAATAGTTTATCCTTTTTCGACTATTTCAAATATTGAATATTTAAAAATTAAATTAAATAGAGATTGTAGCATGCTCATCTTTAGGCAGACGGAGAGAGATGTCAAACCATTTAGAGAGAGAGAGAGTATATACCTATTTGATGAGAGCAAAATTAGAGAGAAAGACAGTATCTATATTCAAAGGAATAGAAATATTTTTTTTATGGAATATTAAGTTATACTAAAATAAACCCTAAAACATGCGTATCGACGGTAGAGAGAGATGTGAACGATGCATGCACAAATACAAATAGGAAGAGAGAGAGATTTTATTTCCTACAATATCTATGCATATAACAAGTATCCTAAAATAAATAGTAAATCACTCTCCAAAAATATTTCTTAACATATTCAAAAGGTTTAATATTAAGCACTCTAAAGTTGCATAAAGGTGTTGGGCTTGACCTATGTCTTTCTCTCTCGGGCCTGGTAAGACATTGATCCCTCTCTATTAAGCGTAATTTATGGTTTATCTCTCTTAGAAACTCGATTCCGCGATATTCAATTGTCCAGTGCTCTTGATTTCCATATTATCATATCATATCATAGTTTTTTTTGTTTTTTAAAGAGTTTCATGCAATCAATTTGTTATCAAACGGGTGTTTCATGGTGTTACTGATTTTTGTTCATGTGTTTCGGCTTCATTTGATGCTTTAGTATGTTATCAAACAGATGTTTACATTCCCAGTTGTTTATAGTTTTATGGCTAATGTAGATAAAATGTTTATAATCAATCTCTTATAAACATTTTCATAAATTTTCCCATCTTTTATGAATGAAAAGATTAGGGAAATTTATAGGGACCTTGAGAATGGGGGATTTATAGTGGGGTACATCTCTAAATCTTTAAAGAAGTCTGACTTGTTTCTCATCAAGCCAATGCAAGCAGCCTTCATAGGAAAGGGGTTAGGTCGAGGTGGTAGCACCCCTATACCTGGTTACCATTACCTAAAAAAAAAGAAGTTTATTTTAATAGTTGTTCTCTCTTTCCTATATTGTCTATCCTTTTTCGAGTTTTCTTAACCCATTTCTAATATTCTTTCTCGCAACTCATTTTTTTTGGAAGATTCATTTAATAGTTTGCCCCTTTTTAAGTATTGCAACTTGTGATCACATGTATTTTGATGGATGTTTTTTTAAATTAAATCAAATAACATGTATAAATTACTAAATAATTGATCTCTTATGAGTATTTTGACAATAAATTGTATACTATAAGACCATTTACCTTTCTCGTAAGGATGTCACAATCACTCGTAGTCATTAGATGTTAAATTGGATGGCTTAAGGTGTGTCACAAAGTTCGAGAAGTTTTTATTTTTTTAACTTTGAGTCTAATTAATAACACACCGTAATCACAAGATTTAAAATCTGACGGACAATAGTGATTGTGACCTCACAAGATTTAAAATCTGACGGATACCAGTAATTGTGACCTTTTTTTACTTTAAATAAATGATCTATTTGTATTTTTCCCTTTGATAAACTTCCCTTTTTCTTAAGGTTAGCCTCTCGCGGTTTCATAGGTTGTATTTCAGTCTACTTTTAGATTCACATCCCAAATCCAAAGGAACCTAGAATGGGCATCTTGTTTGTATCTTCTTCACATAAACACACCTATATTTAAAGAGGTTTGAACCTTTGACCTTCTTCATCCAAATTGATGTCTACCACTTGGTTCAAAGAAACCTAGAGATTAAAAAAACATGGTTAGCACTAAAATGATATGACTACCACTAAGCAAATGATGGGGATTATCATTTTCTCCAACCTCACAATGGAGGTGACATAGTTGTCGATTGGATGGCCTAGATTGAAGCATCTGACGGCCCACATTCACCAACAATGATTGGCATTTTTATCCCTTTTTTTTTGTGCAGGACTACCTTAGTTATGGTCCTTGTGCATCTTGCTTCAGTGCACCTTTATCCAAATTTTGAGTTTAAAAAACTTAATAAAAAATATAAAAAAAATAATAGAAAAAATGCCCACACATGTCCACATTTGGATTTATCAATATTAAATCTGAGCTAACCAACTTATACTGTTCAATACCACCTCTCGAGCATATTTCCTTTTAAATTGAGTATTGGGCTCTTGGCTTAGTAGTGGGGGTGAAGTTGCAGTGGACGTCTAGGGTTCAAATCTCAACATTCTCCCAACAAAAAAGCTTTCTTATTAGCAAATGAGTTTTGAGAAAGTGAGGTCCCAAATCAGTGGTGAAACGTTATCTTTCAAATAAGATTTGATTTGAATTTCCAAAAGAGGTTCGCATCCATTAGATTCACTATCCACTTAAAATGGAGCATACACCCATTTATTTCATGAAATATTTTTCTGGTGGCTTCCCTTGAGAAATTTTGACTTGGAACTCAACAGAAGCTCTAAATTCTTTGGACCATTCAGATTGGGAACCCAACTTTGAGTTTAGGGGTGGCAATAAATTTGAAGTATTTTTAGTTCCAAATCATTATGTGATTTTGGGTGTGCTTTTGGAGAGGATATTGATGTGGAGCCTTTATATGTTCTCACCCACCTAAAGGTGCCTTTTGAGGTGGGGAACACCAAATATCAGGATTGGACCATGTATTGAGGTGATAGGTCTTGTCCAACTAAAATGTTTTGACTGTTTGTTGGACTGGATTAAAAACAATAAAGACAATATCAAGAACAGTTTTTAAATATAAGATATTTTAAAAATTTGTTCAACTTTGTTTAAACCAGTATAACCCATCAAAATTGGCTAGTCCCTAAGATCAATCTCGCATTGGTTTTTAATCAGTTTCAAGTCAAATTTGTTTTTTATTTTGGACTAGACTGATCAAAGCATTTGTAAGCGGTCCGACTGATTGGACTAACCGATCCCGTCTAGATGACCATAGTAAATGTTCTTAAAGATGCAAAAAGTTTACCTTCTCCAACAATGCAATATATATGAAAAATACACATATGGGATAGATGTTGAGAACTTTTCATCTTATTTTATTTTATTTCAAACAATCAAATATCCTAACAATGATAGGTCCACGAATCTTTGTGCTGTAAATTTCCAAATCAATATATATACCTCTCTCTATGCTTAGTAATTTTAAAAAGAATCTAAAATATTGGAAAAATTATCTTTTTAGTTTCATTTAGTTTTCTTCCCCCCCCCCCCAACTTATATCAATCAAACTCACTCTTTGTCTAAAATTTTTGAGACATTTTTCCAAATCATCACATATCATATATACTTGTGTCACAAGGTGCACCTATTGCTGTGCACGTATATACCCTCTTTTCTTTTGAATGATAATGCTGTGCATTTAGATTTGGAAAAAAAAATTATATAGTGCCGAAGCTCTAAACAATCAAAGTAGAGCCCACCTCCAAATTTTCATTAGAAGAGGTTCCCAAATATCGTCAAACTGATCATCTAGACATCAAGATACATGGTCATGAGAAACAAATGGATTTTAAGTTTTGAAAATAGTGCATCTTGTGATGCATTTTTAGACCGTCAATTTTCAAGATTTTGAAGTTTTCATAGATCTGCTCAATCTACACCATTTTTTAAGCTTTAAAGATGAAAATATATTTTAAGGCTATCATAAAGATTTCTAGTATTGAAACCACATTTCTCACCACTATTTGAAGGAGGGATTTACTTGGATTGTTTAGAGGCTCGGCTCTATACAAATGTCACCCTTTAAATTTTGGAAACTATGAGCGGGAACATGGATGTTCATTACACTAAGGCATAGATTTACAGCAATTATAGTAGTAGTGGCGATTTCTAAACGTTTGTTTCCTTTCCTCTGTGCATTCCATGTCTCTTAGGATTGAGACTTTTGGGTTTGCTTTGGGATTAAGAAAACTAGTTCTTAGAGGAGGAAGAAGTGTGTGGTATTAGGTTTCCTGGCGTTTTTGGTATATGGTTACTATTTGGGTAGTTTTGAAACTGGTAACTTGGTTTGTCCCATTTTTGCATGCATAGAAATTGATTTCCAAAGCAGTTTTTGTGGAAGTGTAAATTCAGTAGGTTGACTTAATATTACCAAAGTTGGTGGAATTAATATTTTCAAAAAATTGAAAGAGAGTGATGGGACCCAAAAACTTGTCGTAAGTTATATTTTATAGAGGAGGTACAGGTCTCATAAAAAAGAAAAAAAAAAATCCTCAATAATAATGATAAGAATTAATATATTAATTATATGTAATAATTCTAATAATTATTTATAGTTATAATATTTATATATATAATTAATTTGTATATTATAATAGAAATGCTATACATATATAATGTAACATATACTATTCTATTTTATAATATTATAAAAAATTAATATATATAATAACTAAAATTAATTATATATAGTAAGTATATAATATTATATACATTAATTAATGTATTATATACAAT